CACACACACACACAAGTGTATTACACAAATTTACCCTCAGCAGGGGTGATTGATTATCGCTGTGAGATGGGGCCTCCTGCCTCCTCTGTTGCTAAGGCAACATCGGACGCTGCAGATGTGGGTTAGACATGAGAGACATGACTGTTCTCTGTCAAAACTCTGGTTTTTGTTTGAAATTTTAATGCGGAGACACCAGCGTGGATACTGTGCGTGCAACGGTCTTGCATGTTGGAGTGCATTATTTATTGACGTCGTTTTCAAAATGATGTTCGTCTGCTTTTAATAGCAGCTGCATCAGAGGAGAATGATGTCATACTTACTCTGAGAGGAAGTGTGCTCTCTGTTGCCACAGCAGCATTTCACACCTGGATTCTTAAAGTCAGATAACACAAATTGTTGCATTTGTATGAGATACAATACTATAGGCAGGGGGGGAGCTATTGTATAGTTTACATGCATTATATGACAATACTTACTGGAAAATCTGCACCAGCCACGTTTTGCTTGATGGAAGGAAAAGAAGAACATTCACACCATCTTAATTAAAATCAGCTTTATTTCAGTGTCGTCTTCTAACCATGATTTCCTCGTGTGGATTCACATCTTAATATCCTGAATGAGCTATTTCAGTGTTTATACGTGCACCATTAGCTGCCGAGATAACAAATAGCCTGTAAACCACAAGGGGAGACTAGCCCACAGTTAGAAATGAGACATGGGCCGGGGGGGCGGTGAGTGGCAGGTGGACGCAGAGTAGATGGAGGTCTAAATGAATGGTCATGCACGATGGAGCACTGGACGTCCTCATTCATCACACAGCATACATTAAGGCCCGGGAAGTGAGTCTGACCTCATAATAACAGGACGGGGAGAAAAGAGGTCGTTCGCATTGTCTAGATATAATAAACCTGAGAATTCATTTGAAAACACAGTTTGATTAATATCTTCATATTTTGAACTGGTGCATAGCTCTACTGAGGACACTGAACATTTCCTTTACAATTAATATAGATAAGTCTGCAATGAAAAACATATGATGGCTGTATTAAATCTGAATCACAAAAAATCAATGCTATCAAGCATATTGTAAAAGTAGGAGTCATTTTGTTTAAAATATGACATTTTGAGACACGTTTCTTTGTTGAAACTGGTTCCACTGGCCTCTGTTTGCTCAGTACAGAATTTTATTTGCAGTATATTTAGCCAGAGCGTCACTTTACTTTTACGAGAAAAAATGGTGCTAAAACGGCAGCATTTAGACACAGTTACACTTAAAAACAGAATAATTTGAAGGTGTCAAGAAGAGAGTTTTACTCACGTTCTGGTCTGAAAGCAGTGTTTCCATATAAAGTGAGTGTTGAGTAGAATGAATAGTTTTGCCAAGTGCAGAACTGACAGGGAGAAAACTGAGGATGATCCACTCAAGGTCCTTTTGATACAGTTTCTTTGGACCCAGCTGGAGCTGTTAGAGAAGTTACACAGAACATGTCGACAAGAATAAACCTGCCCGGTGCAAACATACATCATTGATCATTTTACCAGCAGCCATACAGAGCAACATTGAGTTATAATGAAAATGGCTGATTCCTGGGATATTTTGATAAGTGGTTATTCTGCCTCTACAGAACGATAAGAATCTGAACAATGCTGTAGAGAACCATGTCCCCTGGTACTGGCTGGTGCTCGCCAGTGTATCTAATGCATTATTTGTTAGACGTGCAGGAGCAGGCTTTGAAGCACACCTCTCCCTCTCTCACACCGTCTATCTCTCTATCTCTCAGGTCAATGTGGCTCCTAAAGCGCCTCTCTGGGGTAGCTGTCAGTCGTCGTGGATTCCAGAGGCTCGTCTCTATAGCAACCCATTCCTCCTCCTGAGCGTTGCTGCCAACTCACCCTCTCTGCTGCCACACGACGAGTCTCTCCTCACCTCCCACCCCCACCGGCCAATCGCCCACCGCCTCTGAGACTGCGCTGGAATGGACACCGAGTCGACCCACTCGGGCTACTCGTACTCCAGCCGCTCCGGGCGATCAAACCGACATGGGTATGTTTTCTGTCTGTCTGCCTTTCACCATCCCACTGTCTGCACCCCCGCTCTACCTGTCAACTCCTCTCCCTTTTCTGTTGCTGAATCTCTCAGTAGTTTCACTGGAATGCCTTTGCTGCATTTTTTTTTTTGTGTTTGCCTTCATTTCGGTGCGAGCCACATGTTGGCTCAGGCCAAATAAATGAGATGAGAGACTAAAGAGAGATAGAGCGGGAGAAAGGGAGAGATTGAGACAGACAGAGCTCATGGATTAGGGTCGTCACAGATGAGTGGCTCTAACCTATTTCACTGATCTACTCTGCAAATAAGAGAAACATTTGATTCCTGCTGTTCATCCCTCACTCCCGTGACTCTATATATCCATTGCTCTCTGTTTTCTCCAGCTTTTTTAGTAGGACTGCAACTAATCATCTACATCTGTCCACTATTCAAACTCACAAATTGATATTTCTCATCACGATCCGTTTATTCTCAGAGAAATCAACAAAACTTTTGAAAGATGCCCTGTAGCGTAATAGCAAAGGAAGCGAGAGAAAAAAAACCTGGATCCGCACCAAAGTTTAATCGGTTCTTCCTTGTGTCCCACCCCCCCACAAAATTTCATAGAAATTGGTTGAGTAGTTTTGTTTTTCTGATCTTATGGGTCTATATTGCTGTCGTACCAAACCTTGTGTTGAGTTAGAGTTCATGCAGGTTTGTTTTGCAGGGATCGAAGCCGTGAGCGGCACAAGGCCAGCAGCAGTAAAGACAGCAGCCGCTCAGAGAGATCCGTCGTCATCAACCCCCCCGACACACCATCCCAGGAGTCTCCTGTTCACAACGGAGAGCCGCTGCCTGGAGAACCCACACCTGATGCAGATCACGGAGACGACGGCCAGGTATTGATGCAGCAGCTGGTGAAAGTGCAAACTAGAGGCTGTGTGTGGCATCCTTAGTCTCTGCGGTAATCTCATTCCTTTAGAGTAAATCAGAAGGCCCAGTAATCCAGCTATGAAGTCAGCACCATGACCTTATAAACTCGTCCTCACACAGCTGGCTACCCACTGCCACACAGCCTGACACATATTAACAATGGTGACAAGGGATCATATAGGTCAGAGGATTAGTATCCCTCTTGTATGCCTGGATGGATTTGTACTGACGACACTGTGTTACAGTGCATACGTACATGTGTGTGTGTGAGTGTGTGATACTGGGTATAATTGTCAAGCCTGATAGCTTTGAAGCAAATTTGTAGCAGTCATCCCATAAAGCTGATTCTGCTGAGCTGCGCAAGCAAAGTAGAAACAGGGAAGTGAAACGATGCGATAATGCAGCTCAAAGACAGAGCGGATATTTGACTTAAGTCAACTCAGGAGGGATTAAAGATAGAGTGAGATATTCTTTACCTCTCATTTGTTGGTGAGAGGTAGACGAGAAGATCGATAGTACTCTCCTCACTCTTAGGCTTTAAGATAATCCAACTGTCCTCTGGATGCAGCTTCACATTCTACATACAGATGTTAATCTTCTCATGTGACGTCTGAGCAAGAAAAGCGACGTGGTGTTTCTCAAAATGTCAGCTCTCTCTTCTCAGTGCAGTGGATCAGGGAAGTTGCAATCAAAGTTAAAGAAAGAAGCAAAAAGAGAAACCCAGAGGAAGAAAAAACTAATGATAGATATATTTCTATTGAGAAAACTTTGCCTGAGGCTGCGTTCATCGGGCCTCTCTGACCTACTTCAAATCTACAGTAGAAAGAGCTGTTTATCTGTGTGGACTGTTATGTTGTCTGCAAGAGAACGAGAGAAGAAGTGTCTGAGTACGAGCTGCCACCAAAAGGTGTGCTTCCCCAAACTGTTATAATTTAATGTGATTACACTCTGGACATGTCTTCAGCGACACCTTCGGGGAGGTCTGACCTAGTTTGCCGTCTCTTGCTCGGCATCCCCCGCTGTCTGTGCTGCCACATTCCACGCTGTCATGTGACTGTCAGCTCGCAGCTCACGTCCATTGTCGGCGGTGTAAGGTGATCTGCAGTTATGTTGCCCTCCAGAAATTTTTTTTTTTCCAAATCATCGGCAGCATTATCACTGAAGTCTCCTCCTTGCAGCCAAGTGTTAGGGTTGGATGGCAGAGCTGCGGAAATACTCGCAGGCTCCATTGCAGAGAGACATTCTTACAGAGTGAGATTAGCCGTAGTATCCAGCCAAGCGCCACTTTGGGGAAAGCTGATATGAATAATCCTCCATGTTTACGGTCATGCCTATGACATAAGGATACCCTCTTGGGCCACAGCCTCTGTGCGTGTGTGTGTGTGTGTGTGTGTGTGTGTGT